TCGGTATCTTTTCAGGGGTTGATGTGGTTGCAGAATTCATAAGAACCTTTTTGTAAGAAGAAAAAATTTTACTTCGGAAAATGCATTTTATGAAGTCATAATCTGTTGAATACTGAAAACCCCTATTTCTGTATCAGGATTGTAGCAGCTTCCAAGATCTCAAATCACCAAATTGGTAAGTTACTTAATTTCAGTGTCTAGATCTCCATGTCTTCCTCTTAGATTTCATTAGGAGCAAGTTCGGCAAAAAAGAAACCAACTTTATTGCTTTATTTCAGAAACAAATATCTGCCATTTATTTTCCTATACAAATATGTACCTTTCCAAACACAACCTTCGGATCGAGTTTGGAAAAGAGGGACCAATTCTTGTCAGCTTATTTCAGAAACATTAGTTCTGCATTTTTCCATTTACAAATAACTATTAGGTTGATTCTTTTCTTTGGGCACTACCTTGTATCTTGTTCTTTTGTGCTGAATTTCTTCCCCTTGGAGTCCGCGGAGGAAGAGCCTCGCCCAAAAGTGGTGTTTTTTAGCCCCTTTTTGTATACCCGCGTGGGTCATCAGGACAAGGCTCAAATGAAAGCTTATGGTAAGGCAAACTTCCATGTGAAGTATCAACTTGAAGTGACCCCTCGTTTAGGCTGTACAGCGTTGCCAATTATCTATTTTTATGCGCTATACTCAAGGAATACTGGATCATCATGGTTCAACAGGCTAGTACACCCGAGTTGGTCAACGAGACAAGGCTCAAATGAAAGCTTATGATAAGGCAAACTTCCAGGAAAAGTTTCAACTTGAAGTGAAACCTCGTTTAGGCTGTACAACATTGCCAATTTTCCACTTTTATGTGCTAAAATCAAGGAATTCGGGACTAATAGTCCATGGCATCATAATTAAACAGACTAGTGCATCGGTCCACGAGCTAAATACTACCCTGAGATCGAATAGAAGCGCAACCAAAGGCCATCCTGAACGTTTCGGAGCAGTGTTGCTAATTTATTATTAAATTTTTTAAACATAAAATTAGGGTATTTTCGAGATTTTTGGCGGAAAACGTACCTTCATGGGCTATAGCTTTGATGAGTATGGGCTAAACATTACGACTCTAGTCTGTTTAATAATGATGCACTGGACTACTAGTCCCGAATTCCTTGATTTTAGCACATAAAAATGGAAAATTGGCAACGCTGTAGAGCCTAAACGAGGTTTCACTTCAAGTTGAAACTTTCCCTGGAAGTTTGCCTTACCATAAGCTTTCGTTTAAGCCTTGTCCTGTTGACCAACTCGGGTGTACTAGCCTGTTGAACGATGATGATTCAGTATTCCTTGAGTATAGCACATAAAAATAGAAAATTGGCAACGCTGTACAGCCTAAACGAAGTTTCACTTCAAGTTGAAACTTTTCCTGGAAGTTTGCCTTATCATATGCTTTCATTTGAGCCTTGTCCCGTTGACCAATTCGGGTGTACTAGTTTGTTGAACCATAATGATCCAGAATTCCTCGATATTACCATCTTGAAAATGGAAATTGGCAACGCTGTGCAGTCTAAACGAGGTTTCACTTCAAGTTGAAACTTTGCATGGAAGTTTGCCTTACCATCAGCTTTCGTTTGAGCCTTGTCCTCTTGACCAACTCGGGTCAACTAGCCTGTTGAACCATGATGATTCAGTATTCATTGAGTATAGCGCATAAAAATGGAAAATTGGCAACGCTGTACAGCCTAAACAAGGGGTCACTTCAAGTTGATACTTCACATGGTAGTTTGCCTTACCATAAGCTTTCATTTAAGCCCTCTCCCGTTGACCAACTCGGGTTTACAAAAAAAGGGGCTAAACTTGGCGAGGCTCTTTTGACGCAATATTTTCGCTCGTTTCATACCTCATTTTAAAAAAATGAATTTAATAAACCCAATCCGAGATTCTGAATCGTTACAATTCAGGGATACACTTTCACTCTAATTGTGGTAAAAACGGGACAGAGAGTCAAGGATAATGACGTGCAGTCCTCCCTTTGCGGTGATTTTAGCGGCGCGCCAGCCAGGGAGATCGCACGGGACGGGACCCGAGTAATTGCTGGAGTGTGGCGCGCCTTCAATCCGGCTGGCAGCAACATGCTTACACCCGTGGTCGAATAGTTGTATCACTGCGCCTGCCGTGAATGAGTTCAAATATCCTTTCCTACACGCGTAAGGAAGCGTATTTAGCTCCGACTGCAACGTTGCAGACCTCATTTGATGTCTTATTTTTAATCTTTCATGTTACGAAAGGCAAATACGGTTTTTCTAAACAATTTCCGCGGATTTTATTCAGTCGCCGGAAATTTTGACGCAATATTTTCGCTCGTTTCATACCTCATTTTAAAAAAAATGAATTTAATAAACCCAATCCGAGATTCTGAATCGTTATAATTCAGGGATACACTTTCAATCAAATTGTGGTAAAAACGGGACAGAGAGTCAATCATTCTTGTTACGAAAGGCAAATATAGTTCTTCTAAATAATTTCCGTGGATTTTATTCAGTCGCCGGAAATTTTGACGCAATATTTTCGCTCGTTTCATACCTCATTTTAAAAAAATGAACTTAATAAACCCAATCCGAGATTCTGAATCGTTACAATTCAGGGATACACTTTCACTCTAATTTTGGTAAAAATGGGACAGAGAGTCAAGGATAATGACGTGCAGTCATTCCTTTGCGGCGATTTTAGCGGCGCGCCAGCCAGGGAGATCGCACGGGACGGGACCCGAGTAATTGCTGGAGTGTGGCGCGCCTTCAATCCGGCTGGCAGCAACATGCTTACACCCGTGGTCGAATAGTTGTATCACTGCACCTGCCGTGAATGAGTTCAAATATCCTTTCCTACACGCGTAAGGAAGCGTATTTAGCTCCGACTGCAACGTTGCAGACTTCAAATAATGTCTTATTTTTAATCATTCTTGTTACGAAAGGCAAGTACAGTTTTTCTAAACAATTTCCGCGGAATTTTTCCAGTCGGCGGAAAGAGCCTCGCCAAGTTTAGGCCCTTTCTTTGTATACCCGAGTTGGTCAACGGGACAAGGCTCAAATGAAAGCTTATGGTAAGGCAAACTTCCATGTAAAGTATCAACTTGAAGTGAAACCTCGTTTAGGCTGTACAGTGTTGCCAATTTTCCATTTTTATGTGCAAAAATTGAGGAATTCAGGATCACCATGGTTCAACAGGCTAGTACACCCGAGTTGGTCAAGAGGACAAGGCTCAAACGAAAGCTGATGGTAAGGCAAACTTTCATGCAAAGTTTCAACTTGAAGTGAAACCTCGTTTAGGCTGTACATCGTTGCCAATTTCCATTTTCAAGATGGTAATATCGCGGAATTCTGGATCACCATGGCTCAACAAACTAGTACACCCGAGTTGTGAGTTTTTGGGGTGAGAATATGTGAGTTTTTGGAAAAAGTTAAGTTTCATTTCAGTTAAAAAAAAATAAATAAAATAAAAGAAATAAAGAAACAATAGGAATGTCACCTTAAAAGTTTCTAACTTTGTAAGTATGCTTTAGGGAAATTCTCAGCAAATCTTAAGAGAAATCATTGCTCCTGTTTTTAAAAGATGTGCATATTTATAATCCCAAATGAGTGCGAAAGTGTCCAACGTGGCAGTCTTGGATTTATAAGCAATTTTTGCGTGTAGCCATTCATATTTGACTTCATTTACGGGAGGTGTTTCTGAGATAACTATTCGACCACAGATGATGCCCACATTGCCGCCAGCTGAATTTGAAGGCGCGTCTTATTATACTGTGACAATAAAATTGCTTTAGAGTGTGGCGAAAGCGAAACCACAACCCACCTGGGCATACGTGTTTCAAATTTTGATATCGGTGGATGATGAACATTTAATCATGTCCATTCATAATGGTCACGGTCTATGTCAGAATCATTTTACCTAAGTTGGGAATGCACACTGAAAAAAAATTCTCGGCGTTTATACCAAGGTCCGTTGGTACCTTTACCATCTCAATTTGTTTACCAATTATTCGTAATTTTACAAAGACAGACTGGTAAGCTTACCTAAAAATCGGTATTTTTACTGCTTTTTTCAGGTAAGAATACCACTTTTATTGGTAATCAATTCCCGGTAACTTTGCCATTTTATCCCGGTAATTCTACCAAAGTCAATAAAAAATATTGGCGTTTTTACCGGGGTCCAGTAAAGTTACCGAGAAAGTCAATAATTTTACCGAGATTTCTCGGTAAAATTACCAATTCCATAAATGGTAATTTTACCGAGAAAAAACTGGGATCAAATAGAACCCTGAATTCTTGGTAATTTTACCCTTTT